TATTTGTAAATAAATATAAGTTTTAATGACGAATGACTTACGTCACAAAGCACATAAATATTAAATAAATATACAATCTCTTTAGTTCTATGTTTAAGACTTAAAACAACAGTAAATTTAAAAAAAACTGGAAAAGTAAAAGGCACTAGTACGAGAAATCCAACTTTCCGCACGATTTGTAGTGCGAAAAATACCACGTTTTGAGCAATTGTATTAAAAAGTACTTTATTTACCCTTTCCCGTACCCGTAAGACGTCATACTATGTATAATAAAAGCGGTTATATCTCCGTGATAAGTAAGATAAAAAATCTTCATATCGAGATCAATTCTACTCTAATTATTTTGTTTCTAATAGCACGCTGTTGTTTACTACGAGCAAGACGGGGACGAGATGTACCAGTTCAAAGCCCAGGCCGACATTGTCACTGTTCCCGATTACGAGATATTACAGGTAAATTTTGATTTTCTCAAATATGCTCGGACATCTTTGCATTACTTTCAAAAAACGAACAAGGAAAGTTTGTCAATGACCCCCGGCCAAGGCCTGCAAAGTAAGAATCACGACACTTATTATCGCAGTAACAGCTTGAATCGGTCAGCAATAGTATTTTTCGTCAAACTTGCTCGTAAATAGTAAGATTGCATGGTGACTAACTTGACTATAATGCCCCATGTTAAACCCTCGGGCCATTTTTCTTTTCATTACAATAATACTAATAACGCAACACACTCATAGCCCTGCGTATCGCGGGCGCCATGGACACACACATAGACAACCACAAATTACACCCAAACGCACGAGAGAAATAAATGTAGGCCATACACATATTTCACATGCGAATCGAACCCAAGACCAGGAGTCCAGCATGGTAACCGTTCGGCCACAAAGGCAGTTTGTTTTCATTTTAAATTGCCATTTGCAAAATACATAAATTTTATTTATTTCCTCGCAAATGTGATCAAAAACATTGTATGTAACACGGATGGTAGAAAAATCCAAAACTCGAGTTGTTAAAGCCCTCAGCCTTCGGCTTCGGACTTCTAATAGACCTTTGTTGGTAATTACTTATTTACCGTCCTGTTAATACACAATGTACTATTATACTTTTTCTGTTATACAACTTTCTCTCTTTGGTCTTTTATTATTTCCTCACATTGTTTGAGAAAAATACTATACATGCATCGGCGGGAACAGGAATTGCCTGTTGTACCTGCTTTTTTATTATTTTAACTACACTTTAAGTAAAGTAAATATACTGTATAATCAAGATGGGGGGGGACCAGGAGACCTAAAACACAGGGTATCCTAGTTTAGACTCCTGTCTCTCACAAAATTGAATATTGAAATACTATACTTTACTATGTATAATAATAACGCGTAGACTATGAGTGTGTACTCATAGTCCCGTACTAGGGAAACCTTGTGTCGCGGATGCCATGAACACACACAAAACACCACAAATTACACTCAAATTCACGAAATAAATGTATGCCATGCAAATATTTCTTCCGGCCCGGGAATCGAACCGGAGACCTCTGCGTGGCAGACTAGCATGGTAACCGTTCGGCCGTGGAGGCGATTAATAAAACCCTCGGGCCTTTTTTCTTTCCATTACTGCCATGGTCCATAAGGAGCACGACATACTTCTTTACGTAGGTCAGGTTCAAGTTCAAGCAAGGAGGTTATTAGAGTTAAAAATTAAAAAAAATGACCTATGTTATCTAAACAGAAATTTAATTGTAATTCAGCCAAACTTATTATTATTTATTTCTTTCAATTGATTTTAATTATTTTCTGTATAATTAGCAGTTTTTTTTTACAATCCATCATGGCTGTATGCGTCTTTGCTTTTTACAACAATTTAGTTACACTACTTGCAAAATCTATAATTGAATGTACTTAAGCAAAAATGATCCCATCCACAAAATTATCAAAAAATGAGTTTTAAGTGCCAAATGGTTCCTAAAGTCTAACCTCTTAGATTAACAAAAAAAAATCCAACATGCCGCCAATGAATAAATATTTAGGGAAGTTACATGACATCATAATTTTGAAAATAAAACAAGAGTGAGAAACACTTTTAAACTTCAAACTGCCATGGTTATTCACTAAATGATTATCACTAGTATCAGGGTTCTTACCACGGTACTCTCGACAGAACGTCACTACATACCACGGTTGGTACGAGAAGCCATCGAGATCACGAAGTACAAAACATTTAACCGTGATGATGGTTTTAAACTGTCCAGTGCATGGAATCCGGTCCTTAGTGCGTGCAGTAATAAAAACAAAAACACCTTGAGTTCAGTTTCGCGTGTGGATACAGTGAGTGTGGTTTGTGTGAAAAAAGTGAGTGACAATGCTAACGCCACAACAAATCGCGATGAAGGTAGTCGTCGACAGCGCAAGAGGGTAGACAGATATGTCTGCTCATAAAGCTGTCATCTGCCGCCGTCCAGTCAACCCGTGACCATGGAGCGTGCAACCGTTCCGAAATATCGGGAAAATAAAAAGAAGTCATACCGTTCAAACTGCCATATCTCGAAAGTGAGTGGTTGTGGATTGGATCCTTTTTGTTTAACTACTTCCAATTGTTGTGTTGTGAATCATATTTATTCATACAAGAAATAAATTATCGTTGTGTGTATTTCCTCGCAAATGTGATGAAAAGCATAGTATGTAGCACGGGTGGTAAAATTTTACACACCTCGAGTTATGAAAGCCCTCAGCCTTCGGCTTCGGGCTTCTCTCGTTAGTGGTTCCTTGTTGACCGTTTAATGTACAATCGTATTGTAAACGGGGACCCAGGAGAACCTGGTGGAGAGCAAGCACCACCGGCTGGCGCGCTCGCTGCGCTCGGGCGTGTCGGGGCGCGACGCCAAGCCCACGGCGGCCGAGCGCGACCAGCTGGCGGCGCTGGAGGCCTCGCCGCCCGCCACGCCGCTCAGCGCCGCCGAGCAGGACCTGCTCTGGAAGTTCAGGTACGAGGCACGAGCCTGCAACCAGACAGACGAGGTCAGGGCCGTCCATCCCCGGCAACTCGTCAGGCGAATGGGCCTTACATCGCTTTTAAATATCAACTCTCGTTTGCGCTCAAATCACTATTTACAACGCTGAAATGGTACCGCGCGAACAACTGACCTATGCGTACGTCTCCGTCTATTCCAAAAATATTCTGTGTTTATTGTAATAAAGATAATATCTCTAGCAATGGGGACTGTTCCATTCGGTGGTGTCGGAAAAACGGCAAAACATCTAATTACAAAACGAACGGAATCACTTTTCATCGGTAATTAAATATGAAATATGTATCGAGTTCTTAGGTTTTCGCGATTGTTATACATAGAAATGAAACTATTTTTCCGGATTTAAGTCGCGTATATTTGTTTTTTCAAACAAACCGACGTTTCGGGCCCTTTACAGGTCCCATGGTCACGGTTGACATAACGTCGGTTTGTTTGAAAAAACAAATATACGCGATTTAAATCCGGAAAAATAGTTTCATTCCTATGAAATATGTAATTTTTCAATTTCATCCATTATATCAAAGCTCAAGTTAAACTGGTAGATTTGAAGTGAAACAATTGCCAACATCCATTAATTGTTTCGATTTCGGGCTGTCCAATCGGAGCGCAGTTGTCACCGTAATAATTTGGCAGAATACTTTTCAAACAAATTAAATAACATTTCGTCTCTATTTCTGATTATATACCCGATGGTCGCGGATTACAGCCCCGAAGTGAGAGGTTGCATTTTTAAGAGTTTATTGAAGGACAATCGGCATAACAAAAAAAAAGGTTAACTATATTCTAATAGTATTTTTATTGTGGTTATATTGTTAATGCATAAACGTCACAAAAGTTCACTACAAGCTCGTTAAGAGTCTTAAAACTAATACTAAGGGTTGAATCAACAAACCTGCCAATTTGAAGCTTAAACCGCGACTGAAGCTCTCGAAGTCACCAACGACGCCGGCGCTGGTGCTGCATCAAAAATTCCTTATCTGTTCTTCTAGGGATGAGCACATAACACGCGCGTAATATCTATCTAGGCAATCGTGCGCAATTGAGCGCGCGTGTAAAGACGTTGTAAGGAATAGGAAAAGACCGCGCAATGGTGCACTCCAACACGCGCCTGTTTCACGCAGTCTATCCTGCGCTGTTAGCCTTTACACGGACGCTCTTTCCGTTGTAACAAAAATGAACACGAGCGTTCACGCGCGAAAGAACGTTAGCTTAAAATTCAAACAGGCAATCGACGATTACGCGTGCAGGCTTTCCCGCGCACAATCCTGTACGCTCCCGATTACGCGCGATAGAGTCACTGCATAAAGAGAGCTATTATTCGGCAGGCTGACCTAATATGGATGGATCGTTTCTTCACCGAAAAGGTCATGGTACATTTAAAGTTCTATTTCGCACATAATATTTTAGAATTTTTATTTTTATAGGCGTAGGAATATATAGTAGTTTATGATATTCATATATATTTACATTTATTTATCGTTTTTCTATCTATTGATTAGTAATTCTTCTTACACCGCCGTCTTTTTGCTGTGAGTTATAGAATTACTTCCATCCAAAGGTTGTCCGGCAGAAATCGCTTAAAGCGATAGGACCGCCCATTGTATCACCCCTTATTTTATATTTAACTGAATTTGATTTCGGCGTCGGCAATTACGAATGTATTTTTTTTTTACGATACCAAGTAACGGTTGCATTGTCACCCCTGACCGAAACCTGTGAGTCACTGCCACTGTGCTCGTCACCCTGAGACATATCTTAACAAGTCCCATGTGCCTGTTATTTCACAAAAAACTTAATAAAGTATAAATATTAGACAATATCACATGCAATATCTAAAGCACTTGTGTTATGGAAACCGGAAACGACGCTACCACGGACACCCACACCTGAGACAATATAGAAGTGTTTTTACACTGGGAATTTGTAGCGTATTTTTTAAAGCGGGTGAGGTAGACGCGGAAAATTCATGTTTAAACAATTACCATTTAGAAATATTATTCTTTCACTGTTAAATAAGCTCATATTCCCCTAACGTATTTATTACGGAACATGGGAGATTACATTTCACTTAAATACCTTTAATAACCAATAGTCGGAAAAAGGTGTTCCACATATCGCACTGCTATTACAATAGTGTTGTAACTCAAAATATGTGAAATTTAATATTATATCATTACTGAACGTAAAATTTGATTCTCTACACGTCAAAAAGACCGTCGTTAGAATATTGTAAGAAATAATCAAAAAATATCCGCTTAACTCAAAATGAGACACACTTTCTGTGAGGTAGATCTGGCCAAAATAATCCTTATTCAAAAATATGAAATTATTTTAAATATATTTGAAAAATCGTTTAAGCGTCTATTATAAACTATAACGAATTACTCACTTCCCGCAAAAAATCATTAAAATTATGTATGATAATTTTAATGATTTTTTGCGGGAAGTGAGTAATTCGTTTTTCATCGATTCTGAGAAAGTCCACTTTTTGAGTTAATACACTATTGTATTAACAGTGCGATATATAGATACAAGGAGCGGCATAGAGTTGTTAAAACCACCAAATATTAATTAATTAACTTTTCCGAATTCAGGATTATTGGAAATGGTTTTACTGCATCATAAGACAAAACTATTGATTAACCTAGGAAGTCGAAGTTGAATTTTAACAAAAAAATGTTGGATTTTAAGAAAATCGGTTCACAAATAATCGCCGTAGTAATCGCGTACATACATACAAATAAAATACAACGCCTCACGATAGCGGCCAGTATTATCCTTTAAAACGTAAAAAGTCGAAAGAAATTACTTTTCAGGCGCCACTTTTTACTTATTATTTCTTTTTTACTTATTATTTTATCAGTTACATGTTCAAATCGTGACACAAAAATTTATAAATAAAAGAAAAATAACGTCGCATGACAATCGCAATTTGCTAACGCTGATGTCATCGGCCAATAATTCTAAGTACATAAAATTCCTAATTTACGATCTGCGCATTTTTAGTAGCAATGTTACAGGGCAATAAATAAATTAATAATTCATGTTATGTACCGATCGCAACTTAATTTGAAAAAACACACCACAGATAATGATAAATCATAATTCGAAAGGTAACCATTTTGGGAACTCACAAAATATATCAAATAATAATAATAATTCGTTAATTTGCTTAAAAATTTGCTATGACAGAAAACAGTTTGCAGTACAATCGTATCTCGTATAAGTTATGCAAATGTATAAAGTTATAAAATGTTAATGGGCTACTACATATGATAAGATGTCATTAGGTTACAAGTTACAAATTAACTATGCCAAGAATGATAAAAAGTATACTAAGTACATTGTGATTTTTTTTTTAATATTTACGCATAACATCTGCCACGGTTAGCTGGAAGACATTGGTCCGAATTGAGCCAGATCGAAGTTATTTTTTCTAAGTATTTGATCTTTGTATTAATAATTGTAACAAACTAGTGGAGTAATTTTACAAAAATAACAACACATCATAGTGGTCAAACATAGTGACATTCAATAAACTTAAAAATTTAATTTAAATTGTTAAGTATATTTCGACAGTTCCCAAAAATTTTTTTTTAAATTTCTTCCTTTCTTTAATTCTACTTTATTATTGCGAGTCTAAAGTTGACCAGTGTGTGTTGCCAGTGCCAGTAATGACTTAGGCGCTCCGCAGATGGAGCAACTTTAGTTGACGTAACTGGCAACTTTTTACAAGTTTCCATTAACGGTTGCCAGTTGTAGCAACTGATGCCCGGTATCTTTGGGTACGCAGACGACAGCACAGTGGCGGTGAGTTATGTGCCAGACGCCCGAGACAACAGCGAAGAGATCCGGTGTAAGCGAGAGGCGATGGTCACCCGGTTGAACCTGAGTCTGAAAGCTGCTTCCGACTGGGGAGATGCTAACAGGGTCAGGTTTAATGCGGCTAAAACACAGGCGTGTCTTTTCTCATCAAAACGGAGTCCCCTACACCTTACTCCGACTTTCCGAGGTGTATCCGTGCCGATAAGGGACCACCTTGAGCTACTTGGTCTGGACTTATCATCCAACCTCAACTTTGGGCGATACATCGAGTGCTTGGCAAAAACTGCTGCCAGAAAACTAGGCATACTTTTCAAGGTCAGGCGGTACTTCACACCTGAACAGCTTTTAAATCTGTATAAAGCACAAGTTCGATCCTGTATGGAGTACTGCTGCCACCTTTGGGACGGCTCTGCCCAATACCAGTTAGCTGCCTTGGACTCGGTGGAGCGTAAAGCAAAGAGACTTATTAACAATAATCCTCTTGTGGAGTCGAAGCTCCAAAATCTCGATCATCGCAGAAAAGTAGCCTGCTTGTCGGTTTTCTATCGGATACATTTCGGGGAGTGTGCGCAGGAACTTTTCAATTTGGTTCCGCCCTCACCGTTCCTCCTTCGGTCGACTAGAAGGTCCGGTGCACTCCATTCCTATGTCGTTGATATTCCACCTATTCGCACTAAGCGCTTTGCCTCCTCCTTTCTGATGCGTACGGCAAAGGAATGGAATGCTCTACTGCTCTGTATTTCCCGAAAAGTACAATTTAGGGCTATTCAAGGCTAGAGTGAATAGGCATTTTTTAGGCAAACGCGTCCCATCGTCGGTCACATCGTCGCTTAACATCAGGTGAGATTGTGGCCAAGCGTGTGTCTATTATATATTTAAAAAAAAAAAAAAAAAAAAAAAAACTAAAAGGTCTAGTTGCCGGTTGCCGTAATTTTAAATAAACTTTCAAAATCCATGGTCAAGACTGACTCTGCGGGTGTCGGAGAGGGAATGAAGTTGCTTCACGATGTTGCCGGTTGCGGAAACTGGCAACTGGAGACAACCGGCACAAATTTGCAAGTTTCTAGTTGCGGCAATTAAGAATTTATTTAATCACGGATTTCGGCAATCAAAAACTGTAGTCGATTGCCGAAACTCTCAAATGAAGTTGCTACGTCTGCGCGGTTTCTTGAAATTATATGAAAAACGTCATAAACGCTAGTTGCGGGTTGCCAGTTGCCGAAACTCGATGATCAAAGTTTCTCTATCTGCGCAGCGCCTTACGACACTGAGACTGGGACGCACTATGGGCCTCATAAGAAGGCAAAGGTCACAAGACCTCAAGGTCACCCAAATAGAAAGTTTTATGCTCGGAGTTTCATGAGGATATCCGCAAGGGAACCAGAGTACCCGACATACCCCAAAGATTGCTAAACTTAAGTGGCAGTGATGGTTTCAATCCGATGAGCTTACTTAATTTTTGGACCTGTTCTATTTTAATTTTGTTTTTCTTTTTTTTTCACAAGATTCGTTTTTTGTATTTTTTTTAATGGTGGTTTTGTGTCTTTATTTTTTTCCACAAAAGTCGTGGAGCAAAATATTAGTAAATAAGTATGTTAGACTGTTTACAAAAATGATCAAAAAATATAGTTAGCGTCGTGTCCAATGGAGTTATCGAGATGTCTGATGGGACCAAAGAGATCTCGAGTGGCGACTCACGAGGTGGACCGATGATCTGGTGAAGTTTGCGAGAACCCGCTGGATGTAGCAGCACAAGATCGTTGTGGCGTCCTTTGGAGAGGCCTATATTGTCGTCTTTGAGTGAATACCTCGTATGTTATTTCTATGTAATTTTTCCGGACGAAGATAAAAATGTGGTGTAAAATGTAATAACCGCAATAATGTTTGTTGTTACCATTTTAATTAGTTAAATTACCCGTAGACACTATATTACTTTAATAATATATTTGAACAAGAAGTTAAGTTTTTCTTCAACAAAAATTAGTAAAAACGAACTAAGTTAAAAGGCGTATGCGATGTTTTCACTCTAAGGCGACGATGTTCAACAGTGAACGCCTTTCGGTCGAAATGATAATAAGGTTGATTATTGCGAGTACGTTTTATTAATTATTATTTGTTTATGACAGATTCTACCTCTCATCCCACCGGCGAGCGTTGACGAAGTTCCTCGAGTGCGTCACCTGGAACCGACCAGGTAACTTTTAAATATATTAAACTGCCGCCGCCGTGCGGTTACCGCTGTCTTTTTTTACGATACCAAGTGGCGAGACGAACAAGCTGTGCGCCTGTTGGTAAGCGACACGCCTATCCATAAAGATCTGACGGTCACTGCCACTGCGCATACCCTGAGACATAAGCTGACAAATCCTATGTCTATGGTTTCACCAACACCTTTCTGAAACTAAAACGCAGTAATTACTCACTATAGCGAGGAAAATAGTGGATGAAAAAAAAAACAGTTGAACTATAACAAGTCCGTTTCATAAACAAAATTAGATACCGTTGTCAATTTAATGTTACCAATAACAAGAATAAAATATACTAACAGATTTATATTACATACATAACAACAAATCATAGTTGGACGTGTCATTGTGTTTTTTGCGAATGAGATAGAAAGCCTTTCCTAGCTAGTGAGGTGAAAACATCGAGTACATAACCAGAAACAATTGACGACACCAGTCAATTGTTTCGAATTCGGAGCGCAGTTGTCACAGTAATGATATGGCAGAATAGCTTTCAAACAAATTAAAAGTCATTTCGTCCCTATTTCTGGTTATATACTCGAAGGGTGAAAAACATATTTTTTAATACATTTGCTCAAAACGTGGTATTTTTGGTACTACAAATCGTGCCGAAAGTTGGATTTTTCACACTAGTGCATTCTACTTTTCCACTTTTTTTTTAAATTACTGTTTTAAGTCGTAAACATAGAACTAAAGCGGTTTCATATTTATCTAATATTTATGTGCTTTGTGACGTAGGTCATTTGTCATTAAAACTTATATTTACTTACAAACATCTAATTGTTTAAATTGCATAGGTGTTTTATAAAACAACGGGTTACATTTACAAATACCAAGATATTTTCCATAAAGATGGCTGATTGAGTATTAACAATGACCGGAGGTGAGTATTACGCGAGACCGCTGCGCGCCGCGCCACTAAAATAGTAATTTTGATGTGACTGAATACTGGCAACAGTTGCCATATTGAAAAAAGTCGGCCAAAAAAAATAATTTTTTTTTTTTCCAATTAAATTCCAGCCTTTTTCATTAATTTTTTTTTTAAATACTGTTTTGTTTTACTTTCAATGTAGTTTTTTCGCAAATGTGTCGCAAACGTCGTTTGATACACTTGCAGATTTGTCATTTTCACTTGTCTCGAGTCTTGAACCTCGCCTCTGGCTCGGCCCAAGAAGCCTCGAGCCTCGTGATAAATTACTAAGTTTCCGCACTTGTATTAAAAATAACTATATTATGGTATTCTTAGAATAATAACGCATAGAAACCTAGCCCGCACACGCTAAGTGAGGCAAATTGAAGCGCTCCCAAAGGGCCTACACGAGCGGGCGGGCCGTCAGTGCTCAAGGTTAACTTGCACCGCGAACAGCTCCAGAATTTTAGCTAAAAATGACGAAATGTGCGGTAAATTAGTGTAAAAATACGTCAGACAAACATACAATAGATACTAACATCACATTCCACAAGGAAGTAACGCGTTTCAACTTGTATTTTTATATAAATATTGACTAAAACCGAAAATTAACCTACTACTAAAACTAGCCTACATTAATTTGATTTTTGCCTCACTTGTGACAGTTCGTTTGATATGAAACTATCATTCTATGCGTTAATATTCTAAGTTCAACTAGTACAACTAAAACAATAATGTGACAACTCTGCTTTTAAGTATTTTTATACTATGCACTTAATCCCGGATTTGACTTGATACGCACTTATGAGTTGTGTATTAATAAGGGCTTATGATACTTAACATACTTCGACCTGCTCATTGACTGTAGTTTATTGCAAAAACGACCTTGGGGGACCAGTTCCGAGCGGTCATCAATTTAGTTATTTAATGACACATAATGGATGGCAAGATGGTATCCACATATCCGTTACTACTGTCAGTTTAACTGAGATAGACATACGGATTGTTTGTACGCTTTTGAAATAAATTCAAAATGCGGTTTATAACAAATTTAGTACAGTGAATTTTGGAGATATCGCGTAAATTTGTTTTTTTTTAATTAAAACAAAACCAACGTTTCAAGTTGTTTAAAATGCAGATGCTGACTTTAGATCCGAAAAAAACTTAAATATAATTAAAATATATGTATATGTAGCTGCTATACTAACTGCCTCCGTGGCCGAACGGTTACCATGCTGGCCTGTCACGCAGAGATCCCGGGTTCTATTCCCGGGTCGGGAGAAATATTTGTATAGCCTACATTTATTTATCTCGTGAGTTTGGGTGTAATTTGTGGTTGTGGTTGTGATTTTCCTAGTGCGGGGCTGTGAGTATGCGCGTTATCGCGTACTCGATTGTTTAAATAAATATAAATAAATTACAAATTTACAAAATGGCTATTTAGTTCCAGATTCCACACAAATTTGATTCAAAGTGTATTCCATGGCATTTATGTTTATTTGAAAAGAACAGTCCCTAGTGTCTTGCTCGTTCTTCTCAGGGAAGTCAGCGTAGATTATTGCAGTACTTAAGTATTTTTATTAGCCCTGCACTAGGGAAGCCCAGTATCGCGGGTGCCATGTACACACACATAGCCAACCACAAATTACACCCAAACTCATGAGAGAAATTCATGTAAATCATACTAATATCTCTCCCGGTGCGGGAATTGAACCCGGGACCTCTGCGTGGCAGACCAGTGTGGTAACCGAGTATATTCAACAGCACGTTAAACTATACAGTTTCTTAAATGAAGTTCGTAGTTAATTCAGATATAATTTGTGAGACTAGTTTTAAAATGTATTATCAGACACATTGATCGATGTTAAAAGTGAAAATAAAAAACAAAGGTGCGGTTTGAAAATTGTTCGAATAAGAACAGTGACTTGTGACCGTCCAGGTGAACCACCGTGAAAACTGTGAAAATGGTCACCATAGGCCACTATATGGTCCCATCAATAGATGCAAGAGCAAATCAATATCGACGACGGCGAGAAAAAGATGTGTCCGTGGACTATTTTGTAGCGACACAGTGTTTTTACATACTACCCGTTAGAGTTGATATTTCTTGTTATTTAGAGAAATGTAAGTACCTATTGTTATTGTTTACATTTAAGTGTCGATACAACCTCAAATGGCTTTGGTTGAAAGTGTTGAATCTATCACTTTGGGAAGAATACATAGTAAAATTGAGTACATACACCATTGACTTACAAATAAATGGAC